CCAGGGAGTCAGTGAGAGAGTGAGTCAGTGAATCAGACAGCGAGAGAGTCAGTGTATGAGTCAACTATTGATTCAGTGAGGGAGTCAGTGCATGAGTTAGTAGTCAGGGAGTGAGTGTGTAAGTCTGATGTTTGTATTGGTTCTCCAGTAAGATTTGCACAAAGGTTCAGGAAAAGGTAGTCAGCAACCTTGGCTTTTCAGGACAACCTGAAATGAAAGCTCGGGTGGACCCCCAGGGCCTGTTTAGGTGACTTTTAATGGAAACCATTTATAGTGGATTTTATTGTAGGTTGTGCTAATAAAAGTTGGACTAAAGAATATATAAAGATTTTAACTGATTTCCTCATAAAGGCTGTGCTGGATTAATAAACAGGTATAAAAGTAAAAAGAATTAAGATCTTTTAAGAGTAGAGAATTACCTTAAACTAGTAAACATTGTCTATTATAAATTAACATTTCTGAGTGAGATTATCCACACATCTAATAAGGCGTGACTCTTCAGTGGGTCCATCCATCCTCTCACTGATCCATTGTTAAACAGCTTTTATAGTGAAACCAAGTCAACGCTGACCCCTTCCGATCTCAGGTCTGAGGTCAGTCTCAGCTCCTCCTCTCAAAACTTTTAAAAGATGGCCGATGTTGTTCCAGATGGTACTGGCTGTGACCTGGTCTTCAGCACATACTGCCCAGTATTTACACCTAACCTTCCTGTGCTCAGGGTAACAGACGATGCCCGGGAAAATGAGATGGACGAGAACCTGGAGCAGGTGGGAGGCATTATCGGCAACCTGAGGCACATGGCCTTGGACATGGGCAACGAGATCGACACACAGAATCGCCAGATTGACAGGATCATGGAGAAGGTATATCATTTTTTTCACCCTTGGGCCTAATAATTTAACTAAGCTAATGCATGAAAATAGAATGAAAATGTAATTGTCTTGTTGTGTTTTATCTACTTTGAATTCAATTCTTTCTTTTTTTTCTGAACTGAGTTACTTATTTGTGGAAACAAAATATATAGATATTAAGATAAATAGCCAGAAAAATGGCTATTTAGATTTTTATTCATGGTGTAGCATTGGTTATGTGATCTTAGTAAAGCTTATATGTAGCTTATATTTGTATTAATAAAGACCACAACACTTGTACTGCAATGCTTAAAAAATCACAGTGATATTCATCATGTGACCCTGAAATTACAGTAGCCAAGAGTGTCCATCCCAAATCATTGACTTCATGTGTTTAGCCACTTGCATATGGCGACAGTTGTATGAAATCCAGCATCCAGACATGCAAACTGCTTCTACAAATATTTGTGTGGTAGGTCAGTGAATTCCAGTGTGGTACCACGAACGGACACAGTTTATCGTATCTGTTTGCTAAGCATTTCATCATAACAAAGATGGTTTCATGGGAAAGCTTTCTGTGTCCGCAGCGTCCAAGACTGCAGAGTATTGGATGTAGTGGTATAAAGTACACCTCACTGGACTTTAGAACAGAGCAGAGGTGCTCTCTAGAGCAGGGGTCTTCAATTGCAGTGCTTAAAGTCTAGTGTACGGCAGCTTTTAGATGTTTCTTGGCTTCCCCCACCTGACTCAAGGGGCTGAATTAACTCCTCTGTGAAACAAACAAACATCGTAAAACTATAGGACACCAGATTTGAATGACTGGAATTGATGAACCCCACATTAGGGCCCTGTCGAACCTTGTCGATTTAGACAGAGTATGCCCGACGTCCTGGAATCTCCGTAAACGTTGGCATACGCTGAACTTTCTAAGTATGTTTTTTCAATTTTGGCCGTATACATAGAGTATTCATAACAAGTCCAAAACGTATGTCCAACAACAGCCTAACTTATGCATAACGCGGGGCAACGGCAAAAAATTTTGCGGATGCTCAAAATTTCTCAACTTACTCACTGTATGTCGACATGTTTCAGCGTTTTTCAGCGTGCTCATAACTTATACAAAACTTACCCATAACATATCCAACATATTTTCCGTATGTCAGGCGTACGCTAGTCTAAATCGTCAAGGTGTGACAGGGGCTTTAGAGGGATCAATCATCAATCAATTAAAGTTAGATGACTCTGGGCTTGGCAGTCATCAGGTGGTACTTGGCGTTGGGCTCAGCTCATTTGTTCTAGTAAAAGAGAAGCCTTATGCTTCGGCACACCAAGACATTTTACAGAACTTTCTGCTCCTGGCTTTGTTAGAAAAGGAGTTCAGGGTGAAAGGACTTGACTTGACTTTCCTTTAAACAGAGTCCTGACCTCAACAGGACAGGTCCCCTTTGGTCCAATTAGAGCAGAGATATTTAGCGGGGCTTACTTGTCCATCATTAGTGTCTGACCTCACTAATGCACTTCAAAATAAATGGTTAAAAATAACAGGGAGCACACTCTTAAGCCTTGTTAAAAGACCACCCAGAAATTATGGCTGATAAAATGAGGCGTCACATAATGTCACACAGTATGAATGAGTAGAAAGTTGAATCTATGTGACGTATTGTGATGTAACTCTGCCCACTGGCAGCGCCAGCGTCAGCCAGAGATGGGTAGAGTAGCCATTAATTGATGTGTAATACTAACTTATGGAAATCCATTTCCACCATTTTAAAGAAAAATATGGCACATAGCATGTCATAAGTACGAAGCATAGCATGACATCTTGGATCAATTCTGCTACCGTCCTTGTCAGAACAGCTCAAGGATGGTCAATTTTGTTGCAAGTTAACTTTCATAAAACCAGGTCCATGAAGACATGGATAAGATATTTTGGTGTGAAATATCATAATTATAGAATAATATCATAATTTTAACAAAAATATGTGGAGTAAAGTCATAGTTTTAAGAATTAAGGCATAACTATGAGGCATAAAGTCATAATTTTGAGATATAAAGTCATTATTATGTGATATAAAGTCATGATTATGACATTTAAAGTCGTATTTATGAGAAACAAAGTCAAACTTTCGACTTTCATTCATAATTGTGGGATTTAAAGTTATAACTATGAGAGTTAAAGTCATAATTATGAGAAACGGGGTAATAATTTCAACTCTCGAATTGTAATTATGAGATATAAAGTCACTATTATGAGATTCAAGAGGGGGAAATAAGCTTCTATACTAATTCAACATATTTCTACTCAGTGGAAAGTTAAAAAGTAGCCAATCTAGAATCCCTCAAGTAAAAGTAAAATAGTATCAAGTAAGAAGGCTATTTGAGTACCAGGTAACTCATCATAACATCGGATTAATACAGATGTAGTAACACAAGGAAAAATATATAGTTATTTACAAATTCAGGGGTTCTAAAGACAGGATATGTTTGGGATAAAAAACTTCACTCTTTTTTTTTTTTCACCAAACATATGAAGCCAATTGTAGTTGGTGAGCAGTTTGGCAGTTTAATACTGTCAGATGTTTGGTCTTCTGCTTATACAAGTATATGAAATTGGTTGACATTCTCATCTTTGGGGTCTAATTTGATGATGTGTTTCATCAAACACATAGTCTTAATATTAAAACACGTGAAACAAAGAACAGTTTTTATTCGGTTACGTGTATTCTTAGTATTTTATTCTTAGGTTGCAAAAAGTTTATTCAAGTAAAAGTACTACCATTACTATTAATGAAGTAAATATAAGCATAAGAGTAAAACTACTCCTTAAACAAGATTTTGTTTAAAAAGTTACTTGGGTAGTCAGAAACAATAGGAATACAGCTTCCAGAAATTTAAAAAATTGAGAAAACCCTCTCAACCACCTCAAGCTGACCCGTTTTTTTCCCCCCTCCTCTCCTCCAGGCTGATTCCAACAAGACTAGAATCGACGAGGCTAACCAGCGCGCCACAAAGATGCTGGGCAGTGGCTAGACGCCCCGAACCCAGAGCATGATCTTCCTGGCGTCCTGCGCCACACATCAACCGGCGCTGACATGCTTTCATCATGGTATTGACCTTCTAGGTTTGCACACATGCACATATCACCTCCCCTTCCTCAATTTAAATGTCGTTCTGTGTCGTCTGTCGAGCTTTTTCAAGATGATTGTCCTCGTAAAAAGATGATTTCTTATACTCCGTATATCATTCTTTCCAAAGGTTGTATATAGTGCTGACTTGATGGCTCTCTAGCTGACTTGTGAAGTTTTTATTCTCTTTATCTCTCTATCTTGCTCTACACACACAAACATATATATATATATATATATATATAT